AGCGGGTCCGCTGATGGGGAAGGAAAGCAAGGAGAGCTTGTGTGTGTCTGTGTGTACGTCTCCGGGTAGATGTGATCTCTTTTATGGGACCAACTGAGTAGCTGGAAAAATGTTCTTTGCAAGCTTTCGGGCCCAAGCACCCTTCTTGTGCGTACGCAGCATCCAAACCCTTTGCCAGAGCGTCCCCCCAGAAGGGAAAAGGGTCCAGCGGGGTTAGGGCCGGCGGGGTTAGAGGTGGGAAAGGCAGGGCTGGAGGCCTCAGGGGCGCTTTTGCACCCGCTGTTACAACTGGCACCCACTTGCTGATGTGCGAGAGCCAGGGCGGGGACAGCCGCTCCCGGCAGGAGAGGGGGCTGTGCGGGGCGGGCTGGAGGGTCCCCAGCTCCCCGGTTCTTTGCTGAGACACGCGGCATGCCTGTGAGCACAGAGCAGACCCCCCTCCTGATCCTGGCTGGGGTTTGCCTTGCAATAGAGCCCCGATGCTCCAGCGCATCGTCTAGTTTTACCAGGACAGAGGTCCTGACAAGGGTCCTGCAGTCTGCCAGGCGAAAAAGCCGAGACTGGGGAAAAAGGCACCATTAATTACCAGTGGGAATTCATTAACCTCCCCCCACCCCCTTGACCTGCAGCATCTGGGGGGGCGAGGGAAGCCCTCACGGATGCCACAGGTGAGGACAAGGTTGGGCAGCAAGATACCTGCTTTGATCTCAGCTGCCTTTTAGCCGGCCTAGGAGCAAAGCCTGGCCTCACCTGGGACAGCAAGTGCTGCTCGGCTGCCTGGGGCGGGGGGACAAGGGAATTAGAGCTGGGGCTGAGCCGGGCCAGGATGCATTTAGGCAGTCACAGACGCAGGGGTAGCCCTTGGGGTGCGTGCACCAGGTGCTGCCTCTGTGCCATCATGTGCAGATGCCAGGCAGGAGCTGGGCCGAGGCCATTTCAAAGACCGGCCTGGGGGGTTTCTTGCAGGTGGGGACATTGGCAGGAGCCCGCAGAGCTCTGCCTGGCACTGAGCCTTGTCACAGGCCCGGTGGCATCAGCCCCAGGCTCTGTCCTGACCCGAGGAGGTGGCACGGTCATTTCCCACCTACGGGGCCCGGGACCCATCACCCCCGGCTGCGAGCAGGACGGGGAGCCCAGCAGCCGCTCTGGGCATGTGCTCGGGGCTGCTCTAACACGGCTGTATCACCGTGTCACTGGGAGCTGGTGTGTGCGGCGTGAGTGCGTGGGGTCAAGGAGTGTGGGGGGTGTGCAGTGAGTGAGTGTGCAGGGTGTGTGAGTCTGTGAGCGAGCATGCAAGGTCAGTGAGGATGCAAAGTGAGTGTGCAGGATGTGTGGAGTCAGTGAGGGTGCAAGGTGAATGTGCAGGGTCAGTGAGTACGCCAAGTGAGTGTGCAGGGTACATGGGATCAGCGGGTATGCAAGGTGAGTGTGCAGGGTGTGTGGGGTCAGTGACTGTGTGAGCTGAGTGTGCAGGGTGTGTCAACACGTCCCTAGCCGGTGTTGCTGGGAGAGGCTGTGGCCGAGTGACGTTGTTCCCGAGCTGGGGAGAGACGCCCAGGCCATGGGGGCAGGGGCAGGGGCAGGGGCAGGGGCTCTTTGCAGCGACTCCCCAGCAGCCGCGGGAAGCCGAGGCGCTGGGCTCTGTCCCAGCTCTGTGCCCCCAGGACTCAGCTTCACCCTGGGGGGAAAGACAGAGGCGGGGGCTGTGAGCCGGGACCCCACGGGCACTGACGGGCCCACCGCCCCGCACGCATCCCAACCTTTGTGCTGAAGGCAGAAACAGGCCGAGCCTGGCGCCCACCCCCTTGGGCCCGGGGAAGAGACGGGAGCGGTGTCCCCGTTGGACCCGCAGGACGCCGACCCCCCGGTTGCCAAACGGTCTTGCAGAAGGTGCATTTGTTGCTGTCGGCACCGCGGATCTGGCGGTGACCCGAGGGGCAGCTCCACGCGGTTTCTGGTACCCAGTGCACGGGCATGATCCAAGTGCCCGCCGCAGCACCCCATCGCCCTGCGCTGGGCATGGCGGGGTGCAGACAGCCCAGCCCCTGCCTGCCTTCCAGGCCTTTCCTGGCTCGCTTCCTACCGGGTCCAGAGTCGTGGTTTGCAAACTCCCCTCTTGCAACACGTGTGCAAAGCCGCTTTCCCAGCTCCCAGGGACCACAGCAAAGCTGCCACCCCGGGGAAAGCCCCTGCTGGATCCTCGTGCCCTTCCTCCCTGCCCCTCGAGAGCTGGACTTGCTTTGCTGGTGCTAGTGGCACCGTCTGGACCCAAAGCAGACACACGTGAGACAAGGGGATCACACACGCCCGTGGGACACGCATCAGCCCTCAGGCTGCGCGTGGGGGAAATCTGTGGCTGGACAATCCCACGGCACAAATGCAGGCGGGAGAGAGTCACACGCGCCCGCCCTGGGCCCGCAGCAAGCCCCAGTGGGATTAATTATTGCAGTGTCCTTAACTAGCACCCGGCCCCCGCACTGCTCCTGTGCCTGGAGCGGAGGAGCCCTCCCTGCTCCTCGCTCATGGCCGCAGGCTCTTAAAACCGAGGCAGAAGTGGGGCTGTGTAACTCAGGCTCTCGGCCGTGCACTCTCGCGGTGCAGATGAGTCCTTGGCCCTGTACGACGTGGGAAACGACTGCCACGTTCTCACACGGGGAGTGCCTGCAACAGGAGCCGTTGCCCAAAAATGCAACGCGTTTCACGAGACTGGGGAGCGGGGCCAGCACGCAGCTGCCTGCGCGAGGCTCGGGGTCACGCTGACACACCTGCGTCTGAACACACCATTGTGCGTGCGCACTCACCCCCTCCTGCAAGGTCCCCGCGCCCTGTTCCCAACGCCGTCATGCCCGGGCACCCACCTGTCTGCGTAGGAGGCTCTGGCCAAAGTGGCCTGGCACCGGCCCACAGCAGGGAGCACCGCAGCCAAACACGAAGGAGCAAGACAAGGCCTCTGACAGTGCGGTGCGGGCTCGGGGGCCTGCCTGCGCCTCTGTCCCCCCGTGTGCCGGCGAGCCGCGGGGGCCCGGAGGGAGGCTGGGTGTCGGGGGCTGGAGATAGGTTCTTTGTAACAAGAAAAATAGGGGTTGTTTTCTATGTGACGATGAACCTCCCTATGTGCTCGCCCTTTTCACACCTCCACATCTGCCCCGGACGTGGGCATGGGCAAGACAGATGTGGCGTGGCGCTGGCGGGTGCAGGAGGGGCTGTGGAGAGAGGCCAGGGCTATGCTGGTTTCAGAGCGACCCAGACGAAGTGGGCCACCAGAAATTAGGCTTGACAAGGACAAGTGCAGAGTCCTGCCCGGAGGACAGAGCAAGCCCCTGCACGGTGCAGGCGGGGGCACTGGCGGGGCAGCCGCTCTGCAGGCAAGGGCCGCGTTGGCGCAGACACGGTCCGGCGGCCGCGGCTCCTCGACCCCGGTCCGTCCTCAATCCGCCTCTGAGCACGGCGTGTAAATGGACTCTGGCCGACACCGGAGAGCTACCGGCAGTTTCCTCCCAGGGGCCCTTGACCGAGCCCTGGCTACTCTGAGACACTCATCGGGAAGGGGACGGGGCTCTTTTACATCATTGCCTCCTCTGAAAAGAGGCCGGGAGGGGAAAGGGGGTTTAGGAACAACCAGTGACCAGTTTATTTATTGCCGACAGCTGCTCACCCCGGGAGGGCAATGGGTTTGTCTGGGCCGGTTTGCACAGGGCTGATCCTGCCTCAGGCAGGGGTGGACTGGATGCGAGCGCGGCAGGTGCCTCCCAGCCCCACGGCGCTGGGATCCTGTGACTACGACCAGCCAGGAGACGTCACACCGGATGAAGCAGACGCAGGAGGCCCCGGAGATCCTGGATCTGCTCAGCAGAGACAGCGGTGCCCACAGGGCACGGAGGCGGGGGAGCTCGCCATGGGGTGGGTGGGCTAGGAAGGAGCAGGGCAGCCCCATGCCCATGCGCGGGTCCCTGGGCCATAGCCCTCAGTGATGCCCAGGGCTGCCCGGTTTGCAAGCTGGTCCCTGGCAGCGTGGGACCTCGCCCGGCAGGGCCACGTCCAGGGCAGCGAGCTGAGCCCCTTGCACCGGCTGTCAGCAGTGCAGCTGTGCATTGCAATTCCAGGAGAATTACAGCTTTTATTAAGAGCAGACACAATGGACCCGGTGATTGCAGGCTGGGAAACACAAAGGGCTCAGTATCAGAGGGCTGATCTCTCTGCCCAGGCTGCAGACAGACAGACCGACGGGTGCCTGGTCATTACCGCCACCGGCCAGGATTTAGGAACAGGGCACAGGGACCCTGGCACATGCTGCAAACCAGGGGCAAGGATGGACGTGCCTGGGACAGACGGCCCCTGCCTGAGCATATAGGGCCTGGACCATAGTGGCATGGACCATACTCGGGGCACAGCAGCAAGCTGCTGCGAGGCTGGGGCAGGCCTTTGCAGCGCCCGTGGCCCGCGTGCCTGCTCTGGAGCACTGCCCCGCAGCCGCGCAGCCCTCCGTCAGCGTGGGGAAGGGACTACGTGGCCGGCTGCTGCGTGCACACGCGGTCCTTGGCCTGCTTCCTGCATGGGCCGTGGTTCGGGTGCAAGCGCCCTTGAGGAGAGGTCCCGTGTATGGCAGGCTGACCGCTGCTCCCACCACTGCTCCCTGCACCCCAAGGGGACGAGCAGCCGTGCCCTGGTAAAGTGGGTGCTGGCCTATGAGGGTTGTGAACAGGCCCTCTCCATGCGGACCCCCTCGCCGAGCTGAGCAGTGCCCGGCACAGACAAGGGCCCTTGCAGCATGGCATGGGCTGGAAAACACCTGCCAGCAAGCCAGGGGGAGAGAGGGTTGCCCTGACCCAGAGAGCCACGCAGGCACGGTGAAGACGAGACAGGGGTGTGCATTGCACGCAGAACAGGGGTTCACGGCTGAGCGGAGCGCCCGCCCCGCTGCCCATATATACGAGGCTCCCCCCTGCGGGACACACAGCGGGCAGCTGCCGGGCTCAGGACAGTCGAGGCAGTCTCCACCCATCTCCACCATGACGCTGACCAGGGTCACCGTGCTCCTCGCTCTCGGGCTCCTCTGCTACTTGGAGGGTGAGTCTGTTTGCAGGCACCTGGGCAGAGCCTGGGGCTGGGTCCTTCACTCCCGGCGCTCAGGAGCAGGTGCCTCTTTGCAAGAAGCAGGGGTGACTTTTGGGGCCTGAACCCAGCCAGGTAATGGTGGGACCGCGGGCCGTGTTCACAAGCCTGCTGCGAGGGGGCATATACCCCCCTGCTTCTGCCGGTGCCAGAGGCCAGATGCCGGCATGGCTGCTCCCGGGCAGTGATCTGCACCTCCAGGGGAAGAGCGAGCGTGCACAGCTGCCTCGTGGCGGGTAGTGCTGCAGCAACGATCCCGTTCCTCGGGGAGGGCATTGCGGGGAGAGCCGGTGCCATCTCTAGGGGCTGTCACGGACGCCAGAGGCATCACATCGCCAAGGTGCTCAGCACCCCAGCGCTGAGAGCAAAGCAGCCGGGAACGCGCTCTGCTTCCCATCTCTGCATCGCAGGGGGTGCATCCTGCAGAACATGCCACGCCGTGGGGAGGAAAGCCTGGCACGGTGCTGTGTGCTTGAGACGCAGCCTGCCCGGGGGGTTGCTAACGTGAATCTCAGTCTCCAGCCTTGTGCACGGAGCTGCTTCTCTGCTCGCACGCATGCACACTTGAGTGCAAGCACAAGAGGTCCCCCAGGTGCACGAGAGGCACCAGGGCAGGAGGTCTTCCTGGAGCTGGGTGGGCAGCTGAGGAAGCAGCACCCGCTGCCCCGCTGCCCTCCAGCACCGGGTCACTCGTGTCTGTGCTTCCGTTCCAGGTGCTGCCGGGCAGGACGACCAGGTGAGTCTGCTCCCTCTGCCCTGCCGCGCACCCTTGCTTCCTGCGCCCCGGTGCCCGGCTGGGGGCCCCGATAGCGCCGCGGGGAGGGGGATGGCGCTCCCCACCCCGAGACCCAGACCGGGGATGGGGCTGCATGCTGCGGGTCGATGGTTGGCATGACCTGTCTGGGGGCGGAGAGGAGCATGGAGGGGAGGAGAAGGGACCCCTTAGTTCACGTCCCAGGTGAAGCTGGGGAGAGGATGGCCACAGGAATCGAGGTGCCGCAGAACATGCCGGGGCAAGGTGGTGGTTGCACCCCTGCCGCAGCACAAGGATGAGCAGACCGCACGGGAGACCCAGAGCAGCAGGACCCCAGGGCTTGATGGACCAGGGCAAAGCCTGCAACCCACGGCCGGCTGCTCTGGGCTGCGGAGGCAGCGGCCCTCCCTCGCCCCTCCGTGCCTGGGTGGGGGGCAGCGCGGAGAGACCCACCTATTGCACCTGCAAAGCGTGGCCCCGCTCAGCCCCCAGCGCTGCTAGCGTCACCGGGTCAAAAGCAGGCTCAGCCATGCCGGCGGTTGGGGCCGGGCTGGGTGGGTGGTTTAAGGAGCCTCCCGTTGCCTCGGCAGGACGATTACCCGAAGCACGTGAACTGCCCGGGTGCCTACGCCCCGGTGTGTGGCACGAACGGCAAGACGTATCACAACATCTGCTTTCTGAAAGCGGAGAACCGGTAAGTGCCAAAATGCCCCCGTCCTCCGTGCAGCGTTGCCGGAGCCGGGCTCCTGGGCACCGCTGCGGCCACGCGGCAAGGAGCAGGCCAGGCCTGGAGCTTGCCTTGCCTCCTGTGGTCCACACCGATGGCGGGAGGGAGGGGACTGAACCACGGCCCAGGGCGCTGGGTGCAAACGTTAGCATCCCCGTGCACTGCAGCATCTCCTGGGCATCGCCATCTCAGTCTCCCGTGACCCCCAGGGCCAATCCGGCCTCTCCGGGGGTGGCTTTGGGAGACCTGCCGCCCCCTCCGCACAAGGGCACTGTGCTCACGGCGCTGCCTTGCATTGCCTTCCAGAAAAAGCTTGCGCACCATCCGCGTGAAGCACAGGGGACCTTGCCAGGACGACGACTTGCATGAGTCCTGAGCTTCCAGGCTGGTGAAAAGGATGCACCCCGGCGCCCACGCCCTCCCCGCCGTCACGCTCCCTGCCCCTGGGCTGCCTGGCCTAGAGGCCCCACTTCTCCCCTCTGCACAGAGACCCGGTGTGTCCCCCCCAGCCCCTTCTTGCCCTTTGCTTGTGCAATAAAACCAATGCAGCAGAACCCCGTGTCAGGCTCGTTTCCTCCATCTCTCTCTGCAGCTGGGAGAAAGCCTGGCCCAGCACGAGCCCGAGGGAGGCACGGCGTGCAGTCTGAGTGCCGGGCGCTAGGTGTCCTCGCCGGGCAGCCCTTGGCCCTTCCCTGCAAACTAGCACAGCAGCAGGAGGGGAGGGGAGGGAGCCCTGGGGGTGCAGCCCCAGCGCACAGGGGCTGCCCAGAGCAGGTGCATGGTGCAGGTGCCTGGGTGGGCGGCTAGCACTCCCCTGCTATCGGCACTACACCCGCAGGGCCAAGTCCTTTGCATGATGGCTGGGGGCTTCCCTTAGACTCCCTGCTGCTTGCAGCCAGGCCGTGCTATGAGACCCCTCGGGAACGGGGTGACTTTGGGACTTGGGGCTGGAGCTCGTGTGCTTGCCCCACGATTGCGGAGATTAACCCTGTCCGTGGAGATCAGCCGCTTGGAGCTGGCCCTGTCTGCCAGGAGTGCGTGCCCACCCAGGTGGTCTGGCTGGCCCCTTCTTCCAGGAACGCGGCTCAGCGAGGGGGGACTGGAGGGTGATTTAAAAGAGCCCTGTGTCCCCGCACAGCTCTCCTGTACATGCACCTCATGTGCTTCCGCTTCTGCATTTTACAAGATTCATCCTCATCCTAGGACCGAACCAGCCCTACAGTTCAGGTCTGGCGCGAGTGAGCGGCGGTCTCTCGATGCCAGGGGAAGCCCCGTCCCCACCCCGTAGCTGCAGTTGCCCGCCCACAAGGTTGCCTGTAAAGCCAGAGTCCTCTCAGGTGGGGACCAGTGTGGGACATTGGAGGGAAGATGGAGAGAAACGGAGAGGGGCTGGTGATGGGGATGAGGAAGGGTTGCAATGCAGCCCGAGGGGGAAAGGGCAAGGGACCGCGGTCGGCCGAGTCTGGAGAGACAGAGGTGAAGGGGGACACGAGAGCGGCTTCGGTATTTGGACGAGGAAGACGGGGACGCTTTCTTTCCTGCCACAGAAGGCAGGGACCAGGCAGCGGGTTCGAGCGCAGCTTCCCAACAAAGCTTAGGAAGGATTCCCTAGTGGTAAGAGCAGCAGGACCAGAGCAGGAGCTGTGGGCATTGCTTCCAGCCCCGTGAGTCCCTGATTCGGTGCAACCTGGGCAGAGAAGCAGCTGGATGCAGGGGCGGCTTTTCCCAAGGGTCTCATTAAAGCGATGCTTGGTGCCAAGCCTGCCCTCCTGGCTCCCGAGGAGACTGACCATGCCCCGACGGTGCAGCGGACACCAGTCCTGGGACCAGGCCTTGCAGCGTGGTCCTTTCCTCGCCCGACTGGTGGCGGTGCACTCTGGCTCAGCCCCTCCTCAGCGATGGGCTGAAAACCGAGGGCCCCTCGCTCTCTGTCAGGTTGACCCTGTGGCTGGACCTTTAATGCAGAGCAGACAGCATGAAGGCCGCTGCCTGCCACGGCTTGCCCCAGGCTTTGTCCTCCCCCGCCTGAATCTCTGGGGAGGAGCTCGCAATGCTGTGAAGGCAGGTGCTTTCTTTGCAACAGGTATCCAGGCTGCAGCCGTGCTGGTGTAGAGGCAAAGGGCATCCGAACTCGTGGTAGGGGTGATCTCTTGTGTTAGATTTTTGCAACAAAAAAAAAAGTTTCTTCAATTGCAATTCAAGCTTGCAAGAATTCTTTATTTTGCCAAAATCGAGTTGGTCTAATAAAAGAGATCACCTCTACCATGCGTTCTGATTCCTTCGTTGCGCCGGGGCTTTCAATCAGCAGCGCGAGGTGCGTGCTCTTTCCTTGGGAACAGGCCGCAGGGTCTTGTCTTGAAAGGGGGCCGAGGCCCACCAGGCCCCCCTGGCTGGAGAGAGGCCGCCAGGCGCACAGCCGATGCCTGGGGACGGCAGATGCTGGCACAGGAATGGGAGGCAAGGCTACAGGCTGCTCCCAGGGAGGGACCCAGCAGAGAGCATCCACTGCTTCAAGATGCTTCAATTAACTCAACCTGCCTAATTGATACTGCAGTCACCAAATTAGGGGTGTGATGTATTTGTTCAGCTAAGCTTCTGGAAAAACAGGCTGAGGACAGAACAACACAGGTGTTCCCCTTCGGAGGAATGTCTCCTGGTTTCCCAAACCATCAACAACCAGTTTGGACACATTCATGGGGAAGGTGGGTGCTGGGCACCCTCTATATAGAGCAAGGCTGTGGGGTTTGCTGGCAAAGCAGCTGCTGGGCGGAGGACCGGGCGGCTTGCGCCATGAAGACAGCAGGAGCCCTGGTGCTCCTTGCCATCGCGCTCCTCTGCTTCTCCTCGGGTGAGTCCCCTTCACCCAGCCGGCGCCGAGCCCCAGCTCCGGCACCCCGGCTGCCGGAGAAGGGCAGGGTCAGTCCCACCTACAACTTCTCACGGGTCAGGAAGTGGTTTCTCCCAGGGGGAAGCGGGTGCCTTACCCAGAGGGTCTGGCAGAGCCTGGACCCCGAACTTGGGGCTGCTGATCCCCGGCAATGGGAGAGCTGCCCGGACCCGGGGGCTGGGACAGCAAACAGCGCCCATGGCACAGGGCGCATCGCTGCTCCAGGGCTGGGCAAGCTGTGAGCGTTGTGCAGGGACCGAGGGGGCGCAGACCCCTGCCCCCCAAGCTGCAGCTTGAAGGGGACGGGTGTTGTTTTCAGATCCCGGCTGGGCTGATGCCGGATGTTCCCATTGCTCGAGTCGGGTCCAGCTCCTTTAGGACTCGTTCCACTTGCGGGAACCAGAGACACAGACTGTGTGCGTGTGTGCACGCAGGTGTGCGTGCATGTGCGCGTGTGATGCAAGCTGGATGCAGGTGTGTTAAGAGGCAGAGTCCCAGGGGCCTGGCCAGATCCGGCTTCCTCCTCATTTCTGCCCTTTGTGTTTTGTTCCAGAGGTCGCAGCTCAGCCCGGCAGGAGGGTAAGTGCCGCCCTCCGGCTTCCAGCCCGTTCCCAGGGCACGGGCCCCTCTGTGCGCTGTAAATGGGGGCAGTCCTTGCAGACCTCGCTGAGGCCCCGACACCCTCTTCCCCAGCCCCTTGCCCTGCATGGGGTCAGGGCGAAGTGCCCGGCGCCTGGCCAGCAGTCCCCAGCCCAGGAGGTGCAGGGGTGGTGGGATCCCTAAGCCCCGACAATAACGCTCAGCTCAGCGTCATCCGTGCAGCGGGGGCAGCTTCTCCCCCGGGGATGCACCTGCACCCGCGCGAACTGGAGGCCACGAAGATGTGGTCCTGGCAGGGGCCGGGCAGCGCTGCCCATGCACACCCTGGGCTCTGCTATTGCCAGCGAGCTCCCCGTCCCCAGCTTCTTGAGGGCAGCGGGCAGGACGGTGCTGCCAAGCCCCAGGGCCAAAGTGGGGTAAGAGCTGCCTTGTTGCTTCTGCAGTGTGACGGCGACGACACAGCGTGCCCGGTGGTGTACGATCCTGTCTGTGGCACGGATGGCAAAACATATGCCAACGACTGCTACCTTCAGGCAGCCAAGGCGTAAGTGCAGCACCGCTCGGCACCGTCTAAGTGCCCTCGCCCGTGAGCAGCCCCTGCCTCCCTGCTCCTCTCCGTGCCCGGGCTGCTCGCGTCGGCCTCCCTTGGCTTCTCCCCTGCCCCAGCAAGGGAGAAGTGTTGCCCCTCCAAGCCCTTCCCAGCGGACCCACACGTGCTCCTGAGGTCTCTGCAAATTGGGGGTTACCAGAAAGGCCAGCCCTGCCTGCCGGGCTCCTGGACCAAGTAGTGCGGACCCAGGACAGTCACAAGCTTTGCCCCGGCCCCCGGCAGAGAGAGCTGCACGGCTCCCTGGGTGCTGCTAGGTGGACCCCAGAGCAGGTCAATCAGTTAGCACCCGGGGAGGATTTTTTTTTTTCCTTAAAAACATTTTATTAGAAAACCAGACCGTAACAAAAGGCTCAAAAACGACCTGCCAGAGAGGCCTCACAAAAGGATAATACAACAGTCCAGATAACATACTAAAAAAAAAACATCGGAATTGGTATCACATTGCACATCATCTCATTTGTACACAGCATATACAAACATCCCTGAGTAGTGTCTATCGAACACATATTACACGTATCCTGTGCTTTCCCGGAAAAAGAAAAGCAAGAACATAGAGGTCCCTTTGTTGTCTCTACCCCATGTACGGCCCTAGCCAGCCTTTTCTACCCACAAAGGCTGACTCTTAGTTTAGCCTATACCTGTGCGGGGCTGAAACAACCCCCTGAAGTCCAGCTCTTGCCAGAATTTTTCCTCCCCTCCTTTCGTATTTCCTTCTCTAGCTCTATGGAAGTGCAGCTCGTGCTTTGCTAACGGCAGACACTCTATCTCTGTGCTTGCAGCGTGTGCGGGTTGCAAGGGCCAGGGCTGCTGCAGGCCGCGGGTGCAGGGTGCAGACCCTCGGCGCT